GAAGGAGAGAGAGCACGAGCATGGAACTCAGGACCGCGAGGGGTGCACCCATACACTGAGACAATGGGGATGTTCTATCGGGAACTCACCAAGGCCAGCTGGCCTGGGTCTGAAAAAGCCTAGGATAAAACCGGACTCGCTGAACATAGAGGACAATGAGGACTACTGAGAACTCAAGAACAATGGCACTGGGTTTTGATCCTACTGCACGTACTGGCTTTGTGGGAGCCTAGGCAGTTTGGATGCTCACCTTACTAGACCTGGATGGAGGTGGGTGGTCCTTGGACTTCCCACAAGGCAGGGAACCCTGATAGCTCTTTGGGCTGACAAGGGAGGGGGACTTAACTGGGGGAGGGGGAGGGAAATGGGAGGCGATGGCGGGGAAGAGACAGAAATCTTTAATAAATAAATAAATGGAAAAAAGAAGTATATGATACATGATCCTAACTGAAAACTACCCCTTTACAATATGTTTAATACAATTTTAAAAATTTTATGCACTCATCCTGGAAAATAGCAGTTATAAAAGCATTAGTGAGGAAAACCCTTAATTCTAAAAGAGATCCTTAACTTTGTACAAGAATAATTAAAGGAACTATCATTCTTATCATCAAATAACTAATCAATAGGAAAACATTTTTATTACTGACACATCAGAATTAATGAGAAGAAAACTTAAAAATTACTGAAATTTTGTTTGCAAAACCACATGGAATATTTCACATTCTTTCCAAGAGGAAAATGAACTTCTTTCATTCTTTTTAACACTCTGAAAATATATCATCCTATTATGTTGTAATATGAAGTAAAACTTAAAAATTGATTAATTATATTTATTAATACAATAATTAAATTGAAAAGGTGTCTGAGTTTAGTTTTTTCATTTCTTTGGACTCTACTTAAGAAACATCACATTAAAATGGTAGTGTTTATAGCATCCTGGAACAATTTTATTTATGTATCATTTCTACCTATCCTAATCTAAAATGGCTTTTAGATTAAAAAATAAATGGCCACATTTGAATGATCATTTGACAAACATTAGGCACGGTCCGTCTAAAGACAAGGATAAATTTAGCCATAAGTGTAATATCTGAAAAGTACCCAGGGAAAGGTTCATAAACAAATAGAGTATCATAAAGCCTGAGACCCTGCCTTATGTACCTGTATGTTTTCCTATGGACATTCCTATGGCTGAGTGGATGACAGACACTGAGAAGCTAAAGAAGCTTAGCATGGGGTAAATGTGGCATTTCTGTCCCAAGAGTAATTTTCTGCACAAGGTATTTAAATTGTCACAAATTCAAGTTATTTGATTAACTTTTTTTTACTTTCTTTAAATTATTTTTAAGTCTCTTAAAGATCTGACGTTTAAATACTCCCTCTTCTGATATGTTAAACAAACTGCTTGATCACCCCCACGATTCAGTTCCAGCAAGAAGAGGGGAAGAGTACTTCAATCAACCCCATAAGGATGAGGAGAGGCCAAGAACAGTGTTCTTAATCCTTCACAGCTTCAACACAATCTTACCTCTGATACCAGTACAGACTATAAGATAGATGTATGAGGCAGATGTAATAACTGAGGCCTCCACCACCCTCCCACCTGTCTCAATATCAATTTATTCCTTAGTCCAATGGTGACATATTTCATAAGGGATGTAATTTTCGTAGTCCAGTATCAGTAGTCAAAACAAAAACAAACCAAAAATCCCCCAAAAACAAAGTGTTTTTGTTTTTTAAGTTTTCGCCTCATTTTTTTTTTTTCATTTGGGAAGAGGTGGAAGTGGTGGAGGTGGTTCTGATGGTAGGGGTGGTGGTCGAGGTTTGTCTGTATTGCCAGATCTGGAGATTCCACCAGCTCGTGGATTCATATATTCACCGTAAGAATGAACAAATTCAAATGCAGGGGGCTGAGTGGGCTGAACACCCTGGGCACTGAGCAGGGAGTGGAGCATATTCACAGTATCTTGATAATCTATTGACTGAGTTGTGTTGTGACCATTAGCCCCAGGAGGGCCTTTATCCAGTTTCATATGAGGAACTCGAGTTTTACAGCTAGGCTGTGAAAAGGGCAGGCCACTTGTGTCTGAGCTATGCCCAGGCAACTGGGTCATTGTAGGAAGAGGAGGGAAGGGGAAATTCAAGGAAGAGGATTTAGTACTCTTGGCAATCTTGGCTGGATGATCAAACACTGCTGCCCCAGTCTCTTCCGGGGGACCCCTCTTACGAGTAGAGCTCGAAGAAGACAAAGTACTAGACAAACTATATGGTTTGTGTGCTAAGGTGCTGGACTGGCTGCTGTGTTTTGGGTCACCTGGCCGTTTGTTCACAGCACCGACAGGCAGCTGTAAGTGAGAGTGCTTGTGTGAATGGTGATTATGATGGTGATGGTGGTTGGACGGATGAGGCTTGTGCTTTTCTTTGTGCTCCCGGCTCTTGGAGATGCTGTCCTCTGCAGAATTGTGCTTCTCAGCTGCAGAGTGGACTTTAATGCGCATTTTCATCTCCTCTGGTTTTGAGGAGGATGCTTTATCTCCACTGGCCACCGGGAGTCTCATTTTCAGAGCTGACTTGTCAGCCTTTTCCAAAAAAGGTCGTTCAGGATTTTCTGAGCCCTCAATGGGCATCTTCAGAATGACTGAAGAATGGCTGTCATGGTGGGACAGGAGATTCTGAGCGGCATATGCATACTGTGACTTCACATTGGCCTCCATATTCTCCAGCTGCCTCTTCTGAGCAGCCAGCTCCTCAGCGTGCTTTGCACGGTACTCTTTAAGTGAAACTTTAGCTGATGGCACGCTCTTACTAATCTGCTTCTGGGAAACAAATGCATTCGAACTATCATGTTGCAAGGAATGATCAACTCCAATAAGTGCTAAATTCTCACTAGTCCGATGACCCTGAGAAGATTCTAGTTTAAAAGGAGGTTGGGAAGACAGCCATCGCTCGCCTTGCAACATATCCACATTAGTTAGACTGCTTGATGACTCTTCAGAGACAGGAAGGGAAGGCACTGCACTTGTAGTAGAAGTAGTTGACATGCTCATTAATCCTGCAATAGTCGTGTCTGAAGAGGTCTGAGAAATCATATTGAGGATTGTCTGCTCTGATGTGTTTTCATCTGCTCCTCGGTCATCTGGTTTAGTTTTCATGGCAGCCTGGTATGCCCTCCAATTTCTAATGAGTTTCAGCCTGCTTGGAGTTTTCTCCAGAATCTGTAGAAATTCATGTGTCAATTCATCTAAAAGTTCCAATGTCACAGTGGCGTCAACATACTCCCACCAGTGCTTCCCGTCAGTTGAGACTGGGATCTCCCAGTTGGACCACTTGCAAGCCAGATGGATGCAGACACAGGCCACCACAGGAGGTGTGTACTGCAGGCTAAATGTGGTCAAATGCAGGCTGTTGGTTGCCATGAAGTAAGATGTCTGTGCTAAGTCCTTGCTTGTGAGGGTCTGCAAAATTATGCTCTCTATAATCACCAGATCTTGAACTTGTTGTAGGTATGCCTCGCTCCTCGTGTCAGGAAGTGACTCCTGTGGATGGAGGTAAGTATGTGCTACCTTGATGACATGTTCCAGTTTTTTTTGGCTGTTCTTCCACTTTTGCTGCTAGAAACAAGGCTGCTGGAGCCATAGAATAGCGATGAAACTGTGTAAAAGATTGAGTCATATAGAACCGGTGCATGTATACTATAGCAGTGTTGATAGTCAGTTGTGAGACGTTAAGACGTTGTCCCATGTCCTGGAGTAGATTGGCCGCCTGCTGGCGATAAGATAGTTCTTTATCTGAGTCCACGCCGAAACGACGCGACGGGCTATTTTCCAGCTGTTCTGGAGTAAAATACCACCGTTTGTTGTTGTTCTTCCTCTCTCCCTCCATAGTGCTTCAACCAAAAGGCAGCGGCGGGGGCTGCAAGCACTTCCCAGCGTCACCTAAGCGGCGACACACATCCGCTGTGCCGAGACAACTGCCTTGATTAACTTTTTGAAAAAAAAGTTCTAACCCTTTCAGACTTGAGTGAGCATAGTGAACCTGCTCTAACCCCAGCTGTCAGGTAGCAGAGACAGCTCCTTCAAGAATTCAACACCAGTCTCAGCTACATTGTGAGTTCCGAGCCTGCTGGGCTTCCAGAAACATTGTCCTACGCCTGCCTCCTGCAACTTCCAGTCTTTTCTTATCCTCCAAGGAAATTTTTTTTTTATTTAGGTGAATAGTACTCACATCTGCTATACATATAAATGTATATTTAGATGGTACATATATATATATATATATATATATATATAATCTGAAAATAGGTGAGAGGCATGAACTCTTTGCAATTGAGAAACACCTAGACTTTACTCATCAGTTTCCAATTTTTCTTCTCATTGTAGGGATGAAAATGAAACCTATAAACAATTTAAACCATCAGAAATTATCTCATACTTGCCAATCACCCTTGACCACGCCTCCCCCATTCGGATGTACACATGCTAATTTTTTAAGTTAATCATCTTTTACTCATCGTCTCTTAGTCAACATTCTTCTCTGGGTATTCCCACGCTTTACCACATTCTTTGTAAAATCTGGGAAATGAGTCATTGAACTGATTTCCTATCTTTGGCAATCCTAAATTACACACTGCTTATGTGGGCAGGAGAGAGAGAGGAAAACATTCAGTCCAAGAAAATGTACAAAACTATAAGAGCAAATCACTAACATAAGTATATATAAGAAATTATGGGTGGTTAATTTTTAAGAGTTTATGATTATTAAAAATGAATTGAGGACGTGTACCAGTACCTGCATTACTGGTGCTGCCTCAAAGTTTTCTAAAGGGATGTGTTTTTTTGGTTCTAGCCATCTGTGGTGCTCCAAAATCATTCATAAGTCACGGTATATGTGAGAGTTAGAGCACTTAAAACCAAACTAAAAAATCAGAGTGGTTTCAACTTGCAGCACATAGGACACAGACAGTTTACATATATCAAGCCATAGACAAGAGCCAGTGGAAATTATAATCAATAAAGATGAACTTATATTGGACTTGGGAGAAAAGCATGAGACACTTGGCAAATGTATTTAAACGTTATCGTTTGAATACAAAGTTTTAGTTTGTGGATTTTTTCTTGTGTTCACTTTGATCCCTGAGAGGAAATACAAAGCAAAAATAAAGCTCACGAGGAGGAGGAAGGTATTAAAGCCTGTGGGTACTCTGAGCTTCAGGTTCCTCCGCGCTTTATAACAGGAAGCAAACAATGGTCCCCAGTGGAGCTCCTTGCCTAGCTGGGGTAGAGGAGCTGGGCCCACTCAAGCACAAGAAGACTATGAGTGGGAAGTTCTTTGGAGAGAGCCAGTTTATAAATACTATTATTATTAAAGCTGTTATTAAAGTTGAGCCCCTGTTTTAGCCGAAGCCTTTCTAGAGGGAGCCGCCGGCCATAGTAACCAACTTTATCGCCCTAGGTGGAATCTGGCAACCCTCTTTCCTCCACGCTTAGGAAGTCAGGTTGATGCTCTTCCATTTCATCCCTTCTTCCAGGAGCTCAGTCTTCCTGCTCCTCACAGAAGGCTAGTTTCCAGAGAAGAAAGTAACTAAGCAGGATACAGCAGAAGAACAAAGTAGTAATTTTAGTAAACTAACTGCATTTAGCACAGAATAATGGGGTTTTTAACAGAGTCTGCCTCATGCACACATTCATTACTGCACATCTCTCCCACACACTGCAGTTGTCCAAAGGTGTCAGCTGGTAGGGAGTTCAGCTCTTCCTAGGGCATCGGCATCTTTATAGTTCCTCCTGCAGTTTCTCATCCACTCACCTGGAGCTATGAAACAAGTGCTCTTCTATCAGATCCTGCCTTAATCTAGTCACACACCAGGATATACGTAGCAGCTTCCATATACAAGGGCACTCTATTTTATTATATATATACACACATACACATATATATGTATATGTATACATACATATATATATATATATAATATGCACACACACATACTCTTTTTCTTTCCTTTTTTTCTCCACATACGTTTATTGTACCTGGGAAGATATTAAGGGTTGTTACAAAAGTATGTGTGAGCATAAAAATGCACCAATGGATGCTGATTCCCATGAGAAACTCTGAAGTGAGAAATGCCTGACAAAAGGAAAGAGGTAAGACCTGGCATGGTCTGATTCATGCAAGCCCAGAACTCTGGATTAAGATCCTGAAGTCTGATCTTAGGAATGGCCTGGAAAATGTGCTGGAACTGCAAAAGAGTGCTTCAAGATCCTTTGAGACAATATGTTGGGGAAAAGATAGCTTAGGTACCTATGGTAAATAGCTTACAATGCATTTAAGTGTAACTTTCAATCCAATGAGGATAGAGGACTTTTTCAATCAAGAAGCTGTTAGGTTTCATTTTACCATGAGCTTTTATTTAGACAAAAAGGGGGAAATGCGGTGGAGTATTTTTTTACGTATAATGAGAGGTCAGTTACTCTCATTGTTTATAAAAAAGGTGATTGGCCAATGGCTAGGCAGGATTTTTGGGAAAAAGAGAATACTTGGAAGAAGAAGAAGGGCAAAGTCAGAGGAGATGCCATGAGACACAGTGTGAGTAGGATGAAAAGCAGATAGATGAGGTAAACAAGCCTCGGGAGAGCACATAGTTAGTAGAAATGGGTTAATTTAAGTTATAAGAGTTAGCTAAAAACAAGCTTAAACTATATGCTGAGCATTTATAATTAATATTAAGTCTCTGCATGGTTATTTGGCGGGGGGAGAGAAAAGTCTGTCTACAATGAACTTACTGCAATTATAAGGCAATAATTTTGTGAAATGCATTCAGTTTGTCCCATATAATATCAGTAACAATCACTGTAAAGATGTGTGTGTGTGTATGTGTGTGTGTGTGTGTGTGTGTGTGTGAGAGAGAGAGAGAGAGAGAGAGAGAGAGAGAGAGAAGACAAAAGGAAAGAAGGAAGGAAGGAAGGAAGGAAGGAAGGAGGGAGGGAGGGAGGGAGGGAGGGAGGGAAAGAAGGAAGGAAGGAAGGAAGGAAGGAAGGAAGGAAGGAAGGAAGGAAGGAAGGACCTGTGTAAATGTACAAATTGTATCTTTAAAGTTGATTCAAGAATAATTCACAACCAAACAGACTGCTTTTAATTAATAAATTACTTACCATTCTTCATGTGTTCCCTGACTACAATCTCAAAATTACATATTTGAAACCCATTAAGTTCTATCATTCCCAGTAAGTATGTTTCAAGGCAGCATGCCTTCATGATTATAAAAATACCACATGCCAATATTTGTTACTCTTAGGAAAAAAATTCACAATGAAGAAAATAGAAATGCTCTAAAATCTTAGAATGAAAGCTTCATGCTTGAGCATCAAGATGCAAGTCAGTTTCCTGTTGCTGATGCATCTGCAGCTTGTCCTTGGCTGTGGGGTTTCATCAAAGCCACAGGATAGCGAAGAATGCAACATTCAGACCCAACATCTGGTCAACTTAAAAACAATGATGTGCGTCTTTCTCTCACATGAGAAAGACTTTATAGGTAAAAATTTTTTTCCTTTCAAAATAAGTACTACAAAATACCCACAGATGAAAACAAGAAGAACTAATGCCTGAAGATTGAGTGGATGAAATAACTCAAAATTGATCAGCATGATTTATTAAAGAAGCCATCAAAAATAAGATATAAATATCATCAGAAAGATGCCAAAGATTAAATTTCCATAATTTCGGTAGTAAGTCTAGAATTAATGAGAATATTTATTTTTGATGCCATAATTCTGTCTTTTGGTTCATTTAAAGCTTGAACATTCAATAATGGTCATTGTGACACTGCTCGTTCTTAATTTATTGGGTGTTAAATTAAATATACAGAATCAAATTGTCAACTGCTTGAGTTGAAAGTCACTTGGTAGATTTGTTCCCCCAAAAAAACTAAATTTACTTTTATTCTCAGAATTTTTATTCTAAGGTGAAAATAAGCATACACATTCAATCATAACTCATCTAAAAATTCCTGAGGGACAACGCCCCAGGTGCTGTCACAGAAGGAATAAGTGTTTAAAAAGAAGCTGGAAGTTACATTAATATGTAACTTAATTTATACATTCTTTTAAATATTAATTAATTTTATTTTATATTATTATTGTGGCTATGATGTATGTGTGGTTGCACGTACTTGCACAGGTGCACATGGGGAGGGGGAACACACACACACAGTGTACATGTAAGGCCAGAGGACAACATTCCAGAGTCAGACATCCTCTTCCCAGGAACAGAACCCAGGTCCTCAGGCTTTCAGGATAATTGCTTTTTTTTTTTTTAACTCACAGAACCATCTTGCTAGCCTAATTTTTACATCTCAAATTGCTTCATCTGCATTTTTATTTAGTTAAAGATACTCTAAGTTTTTTTTTTCTTTTAAGTGTTTTCTGGTTTAAGAGAGACTGCTTTGTGATAAAAAAAAAAACATTGTACAGGATACTAAAAAGCATGTTTGTACATACGACAGTAGATTGCTGTGGATTTCAAGAAGGTCTGCTGTGCACAATTCCAACAGCCCTGCATATAGAGGATGACACCTTAGTCAATTTTTGTCTTCAATTTCAAAAACCAATGGCTTTAATATAAAAACATTTTCAGTTATTTTTTCAATTTGGCTTACTTCTGATACTATCTACAATTGTATCTTTGTTCTGACTAAATATGTTTCACATATATGAATCAATGTCTAAACATTATTTTGTGAACAGTCTGCTTTGTGAGTTTTTGTTACAAATTGGTAGTGGGATAGTATGGAACATATTGAAGAGAAATCATAATATTATTCATTTCTGTAAAACACTTTCAAAGCTACCTCAGATCATCTGTAATACTCTAAGTCTCCTACAAGATGATAATCACAGAAAACAAATGGCTTTCATCTCTGCAAATAGCTATGTTATTTTAAATGAACCACACTTTCACATTTG